CGCCGCAGTGCACGCCGCCGTCATCGCCATCAACGAGGCCGTCGACCGCGGCGTCGCCGCCGACACGCTCGTGGCCCTGCGAAACCCCAACGCCATGCTCGTGAACCTGGAGGGCTCCTTGGCGGCCCCGTACCAGCACGTGCTGCACCAGGCCAAGCAGGACAAGATGGCCAGCGCGAGAAGCCGGGTAGGCCGCCTGCGCCCGCGTGCCGGGCTCTGCGAGGCCAGCCGGTCACGGCCGCTTCACGGCCACGCGTTGAAGCGCACCCTCGATGCCGCGAGCAGCACCCCGGAAACGGCCGGGTTCCCCTGCGCGCCGAGCGCGACCGCGCCCCTGCCACCCCGCCCCCAGCACCTGGTCTGAGTCCTCCGCCGCGTCCCCGTCCGCCCCGGGCGTCCACGGAGGGTCGTCTGCCGGTGCTCGCCTCCGGCTTCTACTTTCTTCTGGAATTTCGTGCAATAAAACTGAACAGCAAATTGGCGTGTGGCCATCACAGAAGACCAGTCTGAAGGCGCCTGGGCCCTTCCCAGCCTGCCCTGGCCGGCCGGGCGACTGCCGCGCCGCGCCCCTTTTAAGAGCGGCGTGAATTTACAGCGGTGGTCGAAGGTCCCGATCCGGGGCTTGTGTCCCGAGCGCAGGGCGAGGGCCCTGCTGCGGCACGCCGGGAGCGCGTCGCCGCCGCCAGGACCCGGGCCCGGGGCTGTCGGCGGGTGGCAGCTGCTCCGCACGCCACCTGCATGGCTGTGGATGCAGCCCCTGGGGTGTCCTTTCCCCTCGGGGTCACCTGCAGCCACGGGGCCCCCTCCTGTCCGGTGCCCGGGAGCCGGGCTGGACGGGAGCGAGTAGACCCGCCTTCCCTGGTTCTCGCTGGAGCCGTGGGGCCCTGCCCTGCCCACCCCACTGGTCGGGAGTGGGGGCACCGCCCCTGGAGCCGCGGGGGCGCTGGGGTGCTGCGGCCTCCCCGAGACCGGCCCGCGTCCTCTCGCCTCCCCCTAGACGGAGAACTCGGAGCGGGAGAGGGACGTCTATGAAGAGCTGCTCACGCAGGCCGAGATCCAGGGCAACGTGAACAAAGTCAACAGTGAGTACGCGCCTGCCCCTGCCCGCGGCCCCGCCGCCCGCCGGTGGCTTCCAGAGCGCCGCAGCGGCTCCGCCTTTCCCGAGTCGCCGGCCAGGACGGCGCTAGCCGGGTATCCGCCGTTACTTTAAAGCGCAGTTTTGGTTTTTGTTTAAGTAAATAGAAGTTTTCCAGAAGTGAAAAAAACACAAGTTAGATTCCTGTCACCTGGAAACAACCCCGCTCTTGCCCTTCCACGCATTCCTTTCAGGACGTGTGGTCGAGCGAAAGTGGAACTGTGATGTTCATGTTGATTTTTTTTTAAGATTTATTTTTATTTATTTGTGCGCTGGGGTGCAGGCCACAGGTGTGGGGGTGAGGGGACGCCCCAGAGACAGAGCGGGGAGCAGAACAGGCGGGTCCACTGAGACCCACGTCTGAGGGGGCGGCGCGGCCAGGCGGGGTCTGCCGCGCCCGGGGGCCAGCCCTGGCCGGGGCGGGCTTGCGTGACTAGCTGGCGGTGACAGCCGCGCTCGGCCCTGCCTGGCGGTGCTGGCCGTTGCGTAGACGTGTCACCCGCCCTCGAGGGATTCAAGTGTCGCTTCGGTTCTATCTCCGCGGGCGCGCAGCCTGCGTCCGCCCCGTTACCTGCTGGAGCACGGCAGCCCTGGCGCCGCCCTGGCCCTGGTCCGTGGCTCCCGACGGGTTTGCCCGGGGCCCGAGACCTAGCGACCCGCCACAGCTCGCGTGGCCTGGTGCTCGCGAGCCCGTCGCAGACGCGTGCACGGCGCCCGTTCCCGTCACGGCTCTCGGCGCGGAGCCGGCTGGTGTGACACGGTCCGGTCAGGGCAGCTGGCCGGAGGGCCGCTGTGTGAGGCGCTGGCACGCTGAGGAGGGCGGGAGGCCCAGGCCGGGGGATGAGGAGACCTGCCGCGAGGGCCGGGGGGGAGCCCGTGGCGCGGCCCCGGGCGTGGCCGGGTCGTGGAGACCGCGCCAGAGCCGTTGCTCCGCTAAGTAGCCGCAGGGACACGAGGGCGAGGGGCCCGCGGGCATGTCGAGGAACGCTGCCCACCCGCCTCGCTGTACGGCGACACCGTGACGCCGCTGCTTGGGTCCAGCGGCCGTGTCCAGTGAAGCTGACCACGCAGGCTGAGGCCCTGCCGCGCTAGAGGCGCCTGTGCCGGCCCAGCCCTCAGCCACCTGCCCGGCCGTCACTGCTGCCGCCCGCCGGGCGCCCAGGGCCGTGGCTCACCCGCCCCGCCCGCGCGCCAGTGTGTGGAGACTCGCTTTCCTGCGGCGTTTGTCTTCCTTCCAGCACCTTGTGTTCATTTTCTTTTTGTGACGTCACTGATGAGGACGTGGAGCGTGACCGGGCCTCACGGCGCTGCTGTCTGGCTGCTTTGGCGCTCACGTGAGCGGAGCTGCTGCTGGCCGTGGACGGCGGGCTCTGCTGTCCTCCCGGCGCCGCGGCCGTGGTCTGCCGGTGGCTCTTACTTGTGAAGTCAGAAGTTGCCTTATTCGGACCCGAACCTCGGGCCCTGCAGCACGAGAAGCTGTCGTGCGCCTGAGTGTGCCGGGGCTGCCGCCCGGCGGTTCAGTCCTGTGTCCGGAGAGGGCGGCGTCTGCCTTCTCGGAGGCTGAGTGGCAGAGACCGGCCCGCCGGACGCCCCGTGGGTGTGCCGCGTGCCGAGGGGCTCCGAGGGCCGCTGTGTAGGAACGGGCGC